GCGGGGTCCATCCAGCAGTCCCGGAGGGGGGGGCATCACGCGTTACAGTCGGGGCGTTGATCTAAGGAACCCAAAATACGGAACGAGGCCCCATTTTTCCATAAGTTAAACTTCGATTTCCGATCGAAAACATAAGGAATACCTGAGGCAAGCTGCGAAACACTTAAGGAACGCGGAGCCCCTCCCCAACGAAAAGGGTTCCTTCTTCAGGGCCCCGACTGTAATCACAAGCTGACATTCTGGAGTTCCCCGCGGGAAGTTGACCCCTGGCATTCCCCCAACTCCTGGATCTGGGCGGGACGGGCGCGAGAGGAGAGAGCGTCCAGGATGGCCCCCAAAAGGTGGCTCCAAGAGAGCTGAGGATAGCCCAAGATGGTATGCAAGCTGGCTCACTATAGTTCTCCGTCGCTCAACGTGTCCTCCAGCATGCCTCACGGAGGCCACACGGACACCCCAAGATGGCTCCAAGAGGCTACGGAGCGTCCCATCGACACCCTGAGGGTCCACATTCATGCAGAAGCGTAAGGATGCTCAATGCGGTGTGGCTCCTCGTCGTTTCGCGCCCGATGAGCTGATGGTTTGTAGCTGGCTTCAATATCGCCCAACAGAGCCCCAGGAGGGGCCCATAAGAAGCCCAAGGCGGCCCAAGACGCCCCCCAATACCGTATCGAGAGGGTTGCAAGAGACCATCTGTCGGGCTCCAGAGGGGCGCCACGAATCGAAGGACCCATCCTTCTTTGGTCGATGAGGGGCTTCGAGAGGGCTCGGACAGCTCCCCAAAGGGCCCTACGAAGGCTCCAAGGTGGCTCTAAGAAATACGCCTAGGACATAATAACATCCTTCAAGCACACGAGAACCTCCGCTGGCCAAAGCCCCGCAAACCATAGGATCACTCGAGGGTACCCTCCCCCAGAATGCACAAACACATCCCACAAGCACGAAGAACACCAGGGCACCCTCCCCGAACTGCCCTCGATCTTATACCTCGGTCCGACTGTATCCAAGAGCCTCTTAGCAAGAACGATCCGCAAAGATCTTCATGGTTCACTCCTACCGTCGGCGTCCTCCTCGTCCTCCTCGTTACTGTCGTCGCCCCCCCCTCCTCTTCCTCTTCCCCCCCTCATCCACCTCCCCCCTCCTCTTCCTCCTCCTCCTCCACCCCCTCCTCCTCGTCCTCCTCATCCTCCTTCTCCCACCTTTCTCGTCATCCCCATCGCTCCTCCCCCGTCTTCCGTCTCTATCTACTTTTCCTCCGACGGCAGCTTCAGCAATTCCGCTTCTTAGTGTGCACAGGCTGACTCCCCGAGCCTCGGCTTGGCGGCTCTCCACCCACCCGTCTGCTCCAGCGCAGGATCCTACACTCCCCTGGTCAGGACGACTCGCCTGGCGAAGAGTGAACATCTTACTACTCAGCAGACAAGAGGCTCTCCCCAGAGGAGGAGGAGGAGGAGGAGGAGGAGGAGGAGGAGGAGGAGGAGCCTCCCCCCCCCGCTTGAAGCCCAGACGTGATGCCGCGGCGGGCGCAGCAAGGATCGCACCCGACCGCTCTCCGCGGGTCGCCTCCGTATGGGGACCCGGCCTCGGGCCCCAGGATCGGCCGCAGTGCACCGTGCACGCCCGCGCCGCCCCGCTCGCACTCCGCCCAAAGATCCCCAGCACGAGGGGGACAAGAGCGGCACGCGCAGCCCGAAGTGCTTGCCCGCATGCGCGCTGCTCAGCCGGGATGAACGTTCACTCAGAGGTATAGAGCAGATGATCGAAGACTCTGGGCAAGCGTGTCTGAGCTTCCTATATACGACACCGTGCCGTGGGCACTGAGTAGACTGACCTCAGTTGTTTAAGCCCTCAATCGAGATTATCGTGCATACTCCATACGGGCCTTTACCGAGAAATTGCTGGATTCCAGGGAGCGTAGTGCGGAAGTAAAACTTCCAGCATGCCGTAAGACGGTATAGCGGTCCCTCCTGGGGTTGTACTGGGGTCCTCGGGGCTGGCCTAAGATTCCCCGAAGCATCAGAAACTGTGGGTTTGCTACATGTTCCCACACGTGCTCTTTCGGTACAGATCTAGAGCGCCGAAGTCGGCCTTACAGGCCCCCAAGATTGTCCCAAGACGACCCCCAAGCCGAAGCCCACAAGATGGGCCCGAATGGCCCCCAAGACGGCGCCCACAGGGGAAACTAGAACTGGACCTTCACCCCAAGTCGGCAACCGAGACCGCCAGCAAGCTTTCAAGAGGGCTAGAGGCCCCAGGAGGCCCGCAACAAAGCCCCAGGCTGGCCAAAGAGACCTCATGAATGCACCCTACAGGCCCAAATTGGGCTTTCAGGGGGCCGTATGAATTCTGTGAGAAGCCTGTACGAAGCCTCGGCTCCAACACGGTGGCGGGATGAGCGGAAGGCCACGAGATAAGCCCGCGCTATCACCTCGGACTCTCGAGGCTCCGAACCCCCCCTCCACCCTTCCCCCCTCACGCATCGCCTCCTCCCTCCATTCCCCTCCCCCTCCCCATCCTCCCCACCCTCCCCTCAGCTCAGGGGGTTCTGTCCAGGAGCTCATCCTGGTATGCAGCTCGGGAACTCAGCTCAGGAACTCGGCCTGGGAACTCAGCCCCAAAAGGCAACTCGAGAACTCAACAGCCCAGGAACTCAGCTCGGAAACCCAGCCAGGGAACTCAGAAAATCTCCCTGCTCCTGCTCCTCCTCTGCCCCCTCCTCCCTCCTGCTCCGAATCCTCCTGCCAATATTCCTCTTCCTGCATGTCATCCTTCGTATCCACTTCTGTTCATCCGGTCAAAACTTATGGCCAGATGGTAATCCCACGATGGGGATTTACATGGGTCTGAGAAATCCGCCGACCCTGTCAGCGTGTGTTAGGGGCTTCTCCTTTCGAATCGGGCTGTTACGTTGGAGTCGTCGTCTCCGTCTTCCTCTGTTCCATTTGCCTGGGCCCTCTTCCTCACACGCGCCGTCCAGAGCAAAATGGAGCGACATCGGAGTGGAATCGAAGGGAAGCCCCTTCCCTCTGATCCCCTCCCCGCGCCTGGGGGGGGGGGGGTCCGGGTGGGTCCCGGGAAGGGTCGCCACTCGGCGACCCTTCCCGGGACCCACCCGCTGCGCATTCCCCCCGCGCCCCGGCCCCGGCCCTGGCCCTCGCCCGGGCCCCGGCCCCAGACACGGACCGGTCCAGCCCGGGTGGCCGCGGGTCCCGACCCCGGCGCCCCATGGCCCCGGCCCTGGCCCCCAGCCCCCTTGGCCCTGGCCGGCCGTGGCCCCCGCCTCGGCCTCGGCCCTGGCCCCCAGCCCCGGCCCCAGCCGCGGCCCCAGCCCAAGCCCCAGCAGAGCAAAAGAGGCTCCCAGGAGAGCCCCAAGAAAGGCTACAGAGCGTCAACGTCGTCGTCGTCGCCGCTGCCGCCGCCGTCGCCGTCGTCGCCGCCCCCCTTCTTGAGCAGGGTCCGACCGTCCTGGCATTCCTCTAGGCCTACCACGACATTTCCTAGAACCCCAAAACGTTCTAAGAACAAAAACAACGCTCTTAGAGCACAAGCCCGACGCGTTGAAACAAGCCAGTCGCAGCCAGAAATGCTCTGAGAACATTTCGTGCAGACCACAGGAGGTTCTTGGAGCATCTTTTGGTGGGCCCATAGGCGAGCCAGGACGCTTCGCCACTGCTTCACCTTCAGGGCCGGGGGCACCGGCCGCTAGGCCTTCCCGATCCTGGAGAGCCGAAGGGGCCCAGGGACACACAAACAAATGCACACACAAATCCCTGGATTCCGCATGATACCAGAGAAAAAACCCAATCAGAATTTGGGGGGGGCTATGGGGCTTTAGGGCTTTAGGGCTATGGGGCTATAGGGCGATGTGGCCATAGGGATTTAGGGCAAGAAGCCTTTAGGGCTATGGGGCTATAGGGCTACAGGGCTATAGGGCTGTAGGGCTAAGGGCTATAAGACTATTCGGGCTATAGGGCTATAAGGCTACAGGGCTATATACGGCTATAGAGCGTTAGGATCATAGGGCTATAGGGCTATAGGGCTATAGGGCTATAGGGCTATAGGGCTATGGGGCTATGGGGCTATTGGGCTATTGGGCTATTGGGCTATAGGGCTGTACGGCTATAGGGCTATAAGATTATAGTGCTATGGAGATATAGGGCGATTGGGCTATTGGGCTATAGGGATATAGGGCTATTAGGCTAGGCACCCCCGGGCACTTCTGGGCACCCCGGGCACCCGGGCACCCCTGGGCACCCGGGCACCCGGGCACCCCCGGGCACCCCCGGGCACCCCCCGGCACCCGGCCCCGGCCACCGAAATCGGCCACACACCTGGGCACCCGGGCACCCCCGGGCACCCCCGGGCACCCGGGCACCCGGCCCCGGCCACCCGGGCAATCGGCGGCACAGACTACCTAACCCTTTAATCCGCTAGGACCCCTATAGAGACAAGCTCTGATTGGGGAATATGTTCACACATGTTCTGGGTTTCTGTCTTCCCCCCCACTTCCCATGGTTTCGCATATGTTCCTGGGAAGCGACGATCAGTTGTGTCTGTGTTTTTCCACTCCTGAAAGCTGCACTCTGGGCGGGACCTGCCACGAGAGAAACCCCTTCCAAGATATGCCAAATCGAGAACATGCGAAATCAGCAGCATGCGAAGCACATCGAGAATATGCACATTTCTGGTCAAGCCACTGGTTATGAGCACAGCCGAAATCTTTCGATAGCTGATGGTTACGGCGACGACTATGACGACATCGACGATGAAGACCACGACGACCTCGACTCAACAGCATGTGAACACACATCGAGAATATGCACATTTCTAGTCAAGCCATTGATTATGAACACAGCCGGCAACTTTCGAAAGCGGATCATTACGGCAACGACTATGACGACATCGACGACGAAGACCACGACGACCTCGACGACGACGACGACGACGACGGCGACGACGGGGAACGACGAGGCACGACGATCGCGCTCGGCAGGTGGGCGGGCCATGGTCTCCTGCGCATGCCTGCATGTACTGCTGGAACGTGATGTCCTCGGCTGCGATGTGCTTGATCGTGAGCACAGCCTGCCGGCCGCCCGATGCCATACTTCCACGCAGGGCTCGAGGATCGCAGCGCGAGGCTCGACGATCGAGGATCGACGATCAAGGATCGACGATCGAGGATCGACGATCGAGGACCGCTTCCATCGAGTGCGACGATCGACGATCGAGGATCGCTTCTAGATCGAGGATGTGCGAGGATCGACGATCGAGATCGGCTCTTCGGGGTCTCTGGAGACCTCCTGGGACGTCTAGCAGTTTCCAGAAAGCTCCTGGGCCCAGTCTCGATTTTGGCAACCAATACGGATGCGGCCCAAGGGACCCTGCAGAAGAGCCTCGAGAATCGGCTCCGAGGCTCCGCTCGGCATCCACATGGCTGCATGTTTTAAGACCTCCTATATGGGGTCGGAGTAGACGGGGTCGAAGGATCGCGCCGCATCGCCGATACATCGGCGATGCATCGCTGATGCATCGGCGATGTATCGTCGAGGGGGGCGATGCATCGGCGCCGTCGGCGTGAGGCAAATCGGGCTCCGCTTCGAGCCGCATCGGCGATGCATCGGCGATGCGGCGCGATCCTCCGACCCCATCTACTCCGACCCCATCTAGGAGGCCTAGACTCCAGGTGAGGTACACCCTGCGAAATGCTTAAGAAATCATGGGTTAAGAAATTCATAGTCTCAGAAATTGAATGAAAACCCAGAACTTCTATCAAAATCTTGGGATTTACATTGAAACGTTAAGAATAATCGAGACTCTGGCCGAAAACTTAGGTTTTCTTAAGCATCGCCTAAGGTGTAGAGGACGAGTTCCGCCAGAGGACGCGACGGCCCCTGGTTGGCCCCAGTGGCCCGCCGGCCCCCGTCCGCCGGAGCCTGGCACGCCATGGGCCGTGGCCAAGATATAACCCTGGCAAGCCAACAGTAAACCCCCCGGCGATATCGCTAGCACAGAAAATAAAATAAATAATTATTTTGGGCGGCGCCCTCTGGCGATATCGTTAGCACATAAAAAATAAATAAAATAATTAATTAATTAATTTGCCCCCCCGGGCCCGAAGCTGGCGGCAACGCGAGGCGACAGCCTGAAGGCTTGTGGAGGCCTTTCTGGATGCCTCCTGGGAACCTCCGGGGACCTCCCCTCCGCGGACCTCTGGTGACCTGCGGGGGATATCGCTTCCGCCCCGGCCCCGGTGCCGGAAGCGTTATAATTTCCTCTGATGAAGGGGGGGGGGGGGGGGAGGGGGGTTTACTGATTGCTTCCCAGGGTTAGTAAGGAGGTCTCCTGGATGGGGTTCGAGCCGGTGGGGTCGGAGGACCGCGCCGCATCGCCGAGACATCGCCGACGCATCGGCAACACGTCGCCGACGTCGGCGATGCATCGGCGCCGCCGGCGTGGGGAAAATCGGGCCCCACATCGACCCGCATCGCGGACGCATCGGCGATGCGGCGCGGTGCCCCGACCCACCTGCTCGGACCCCATCTGGGAGGCCTCGGAAAGAGTCCCGACCGCCGGCGGTGAGCCAGGGGGAGAGGGCATATGGGGGCGGGCACGCCCTCCGAGAAGCTGTCCAGGCCTTCCCCGAAGCCGCAGGGCTCCTCAGAGGGCCAACATGGACTAGCGATCCATGGATCTGGCGCGCGGTCGCCGAATCCATGGATCGGGGGAGGTGCCCTCCCCAAAATGAGGCCGGTGCCGCCTCGCTAGGCGGCGGAACTCCGCGACCTCCCATGGAAACGGAACCCGTCGCCAACCCACGCCCCCGTGATCCATGTTTGCGATCGCCTGATTCTGAGCAGCCCCGCCGCCTTCCGAGAGGGCGCGTGGCCCCATCTGTCTTTCCCCTTGCCGTCGCTCGGATGTCCATTTCCCGTGCATCTTTCGGCTTCGTGCGTGTTTTTTTCCCTCGATGGTCCAGGATGGTCCTCGATGGTTTCTCGCCGAGAAAAAATGCACATGTCCAAGCGATGCCAACCAGGGCGCACCGCCGACCCCGGCGAACGGGCAACACACGCCCATACCCATAGGGGGGGTCGGCGGGGCATGGGTGTGCTCTGGGTAATGGGTGCGGGTTGTCGGACCGCGGGGGGGAGGCATCCGCTCGAGCGGGGACCCCCATCCGACAGCAGGCACCCATGGCACCCTCCGGCCTCCCTATGGGTATGGGCCCATTGGGTGCGTGGTGTTCGGTCGTCAGGCCCAAGAGGGCACACCTCCCCAAGCAGGCCCGAGCTGGGTCGGCTAGCAAAGGTGGACCGCGCCGGAAACGGGTCGCCGCGCGCCTGGGCCGGCGCGGGATCGGACGGCTTGGGGCCGCGGATCGGGCTCCGCCCCCGCACACGGGGGATCGGATCGGATCGATCGCGCTCTGTGATCGTGTTCTTCGATCGATCGATCGGAGCCCGCGGGAGACTTCCGCGGAGAGCCCCGAGGACGGCCCCCGCATCGTCCCGCATCGGATCAATCGGGGCGCGGGGCCCTCGGACCACGAGAATCGGAGAAGCGGAAGGCATTGCCATGAAAGTGAGGCAGGGTTGGACACCACACGGAACCGAATTCGGCCTCGAGGGAGGCCGGGTGGTCGGCGCCACGGCGCTCAGACATCCTCCACTGTGGCACTGGCGGGGTGCACGTTCGAGCTCGTGCCAAAAGCCGCCGCGTCGGCCGCACTGCTTGCGCGGCCGCTCGCCATGGAGATTCCTTCGATGCCCACTCGAGGAGCGAGGCTCCACCTTCCGCCAAGTTCCTGGAGGGGGCGCGGGGAACACCCAGGACCTTCCGAACCAACGTGGCTCTTCCGAGCCTCTCAATGAGCCGCCTCCTCCCCTCAGTCTGGCACAAGATGGAGTCCAAGATCGGAGAGGCCTCCAAGAGATTCTCGGAGGACCCCAGGTTGGCCATTGCTGCTGGGGGGTGCTCGGGCTGACCCCAGCCTCGGTCTGGCTGCGCACCAGCGCCCCCCCAGTGCTTCTGTCGCTGCTGACCCCCGCTGCCCTTCTCGCGACGAGCCGCCTGGGAATCGCTCCTGGGTGGGCCGGCGGGGATGCGCGACGCGTGAGGAACCTGGCCTACGTCGGAGGGCACCAACTATACACCAACACCGATCCTGGCCCAGGATCACCCTGGGCCCAGGATCGGTGTATATGCCTTCTTGCGCAAGGCAGGAGGGCGTATACACCGATCCTGGGCCAAGGGCGATCCTGGCCAGGATCGGTGTTGGTGTATAGTTGGTGCCTTCCTACTACGCCCGAAAACCTCGTGCCTCTGGAGCTCCCCGCGGTCTGGGCACGTCCGGGGCCTTCAGCTGGACGTTCAGCTGGTCGCTGCAGACGCACTGCATGAGATACTCGGCGATGTCGGGGACATCCTCGGCCAACCACCGAGCCCCTCGTCTCGGGCGATCTCGAAGGGGCCCCAGGACACACAAAGAAATACACACAAATAAAAAGATTCCCCCTATTGTCCTACATCTTCTGGGTTTTTGCCTTCCCCCCCACTTCCCATATTTTCCTATATTTTCCAGGGAGTCGACGATTCATTGTGTCTGTGTGTTTTTTCCCCTCCTGCGATCTCGCTGCTGGCTGTACGCTCCCCGCTCATCACCCTGCCGCTCCCCCAGCCCGCTCGCTGCCCCTCGTGTCGCGCTTTTTCTGGCATGCTGTCGTGCCTCGTCTGCTGCCTCCTGTTTCGCGCCCCCCCCACGCCCCGCCCGCACTTCTCGTGGAGGGGCGCCTGCATTCGCCCTGGACGGCTCTTCTCTGACCCTTTCCGCCTCCGTCGTTGTCCCTCCCCTCTTCTTCCCTGCCCCTGCCCGCTGCTCGCCCTGGACACCTCAACACGCCCCCATTCCAATCACAGGTTGGGGAACCCACGTAAACGATGTACGCGCCCATTCACGCACACGAGTACGCCCCCCCCAGTCCGCAAGACCAGCCTCGTATTATCTTGTTCCAATCGCACTTCAGGACCACATCCTAAACATCATGTCGAGCACGCAGAAAAGTACCGAGGATGGGTCTGTTCGACGCGCTGGCAAGGTGTCAAGCGAGTATCGCCTCCCAGGGTCCGACACAGGAAAACCCTCCAGTTTCGGCAGTTCCGTGGAGTTCATCGATGTTTTTTTTTTGGTGATCAAGGCTGAAGCACGTTGGAACATCATACGCCTCGTGACACCAACGTTCGCGCCATGCGAACGCTATTTCACAGGAGGAAAACCCAATCAGCGGATGGTTTGATGAATCGTAAGATCGATAAAAAGATCGATGAGGAGATCGACCAGGAATCCGGGAACCCGGAACCTACCGACATCGGCCCGGAACCAATATAACCACCAGGAACCCCAGAACTCGGAATCCGGAACCCAGCCGGCTACCAAAATCGGCGAGAAACTTCCGCCGAATCTTTCCATTTCCGCCAGGGCCCCTTCAGTGCAAGCACTGATTGGGAAACATATATAACATGGTACACACTCATACACACACACATGTGGCTATTCGCCGACACCATGGGGTCTCCAGGCGTGTGAGATTCTCCCCCCGCCCCTTGCCCCCCCCCCCCCGGACCCCAAACCGGCATATTTTGACCCCCGCCTCCTGCACGCGCGCGTCCTTCCCGCGCTCCTGACGGGTGCCCGAAAGGTGACGTGATAACGTCGGGGGGGGGTAGAGTCTATTTATTCTCTTTTTAGAAAGGAGAATTAGGGGTTAGGGATAGGGTAGGGGTTAGGGTTGGGATTCGGGGTTAGGGTTAGGGTTTATAGGCTTCAGATTCGTGGTTCCGCTCCTCCCCTGCTCGACGCAGCGGCCTCCGTTCTGGCCGAGGCTTCGCCCGGCTCCCGCCCGCGGGCGCTGCGCGGGTCAGCCGAGGCTTCGCCTGGTGCCCGCCCGTGGGCGCCTGCCTGGCCCTCCACCTCGGGCACCCACGACGCCGTGGGCCCAGTTCGCCGAAC